AACCCCCCCCCGCCACAAGATCTCCGTGGCTCCAGAGTAGCCTCCTGCCCTTCCCTGCCATGTGCCCTGCCAGCGTGGCTGCAGCTGGGGTCTCCATGGAGACTAGCCCCAGCCATGCAGGCAGGGGCTGCTGGGAAATGGAGTCCACTGCTGGCCAGATCTAGCCCACAGGCCACACTTTGCCTGTCCCTGAGCTAGAGAGGCCAGAACACTGGTTTTTACATGCATTTGATGGAATGTGGATATGGTCAGTTTCACTGTTTCCCATGTACCATCAGGCTGGTATTTCCTTTTTTCAGTCTTTCACACAGCAGTGAGGGAAAGAGAAGCATTTAAAAACCTAAAGCCAAGAAAAAATAAACATAAAATCTTAACACTTAGCATGAAATCCTTCCCCCATCCTTTCTGGCACCTTTTTGCCAACTAGAACAACCAGAGCACCATGAAGTGATCTAAAAGCTCTGGAAGAATGCTCAGCACAAGCCATGTGGAAAGCATTCTCTCAGGCCCCGGTTATACGTTACATGCATTGCACAATTAACTGGTTAATGGAGATTATAAGAATGTATAATGTTGTTTAACATAATAAGTTAATATAATAATTACAAATAATTTAATATTCTTATATAATAAAGGGCTTAGTGTGTCTGTCCAGAACACTCTTGGAGCACTGTAATTGGTTAGTGAAACAACCAATCAGAGTATGGAGCATCACCATGATGGTGGGGACAGAGGGGAACTGGCCTTGTCCCCCTGCTCTGTCCCCGCCATCATGGTGGCACTTTGCCGCCTCTGAGGAGCGGGGCCAGTGGAGTGGGGAGCAAGGCCAGTGGTGCTGCTGGTGGAGAGGGATGGAGGGGACGGTTGGGCAAGCTTCCCCACTCTGTTGCTGGGAGGTACCAGCAGCGCGCGGTGGTGGGTAACGGTGCTCAATTCCCACCCCCACCCCCGGGTCATTCTTGATGGGCAATTCACTAGTAACCCTATAATGATTTAATTTAGATTTTAATTTGGGGTGAGCATTGCAAAGATTCTGGGCAGTTCTGTGGCCCATAGAGCAGCTGAGATGAGCTCTCAGAGAAGTCTAAATCAGGGCTGTCCAGCATCTCTGTAGCCAGGGCCAGCACCAGCAGGGATTGCACACCATGCACAAATGCAAGTGCACGCTTGCTTAACCTGCTGTACCATAAGCACTCATCCACCCCATTGTACCACACACGAGTGGGCACCCCACTGTCCCCATGCAACGTAGTGCCCTGCCTCACCACTGCAGGTTCCCCCGTGCTACCCTGCCATACAAATGCTCCAGGCTGCTGGTTTAGCAAGCATTTCAGATTGTGTCATCCCCCACACCCTGCCGGAGCTGGGTCAAGCAGCAGAAGCTGGGGGAAGGGAGGGAGAGTCAAAAGACCCTGTTTGTTGCTGCAGCTGGAGCAAAAGGCAGCAGCAGCCTGATGGGAACCTGGAGCTGCAGGTTAACCCTTTGCAGGCTACCAGTTGGGCAGCCCTGGTTTAAATTATGCTGGGGACCAGAGAGCAGCCCAGGATCAGGAAGGCTCAGAGAGGGCTTAATGCCACTCCTCTTCAGATATCTTTACTTTGATTTCAAGTTGATGGGGTCACTTTAAGAGAGAAAGCAGTAATGAGCTTTGCTTCCAGAAAATGAAACTTGTTCTTTGCCACAGAGTTTGCATCTATAAACAAACCAATGTTATTTGAGCAGCTTGATCACCTCACTTTATCAAAGCTAGTTTGTAGTATATTCTGTTTACTGTCCCTTGATACTGACATTCCTGTTCTTGACCTTTCCAGCAAACTGTCCCACCAGCCTGTGCTGCTGTTCCTAAGGGATCCATATGTCTTGCCTAAAGCCAATGGTAATCAAACCTGTCATCTGTTAACAGCTCTTTACTGATCTGACCCTATACCACATAAACCGCATTATTATTAATACAGGACTTGCTGAGCGACACTAGTCCAAATTCTAATAACCTGCCAATAAAGCACTAGTTCTCGTATAAAAGACCTTTAAAATCCTAATTGGAGCAGATGATTTATATGAAGATGCAATTTTTTCTCAATTGTTCTGCTAACCAAATCTACTGTGAACTCAATTAAACAAAACCAAAAAAGACTTACTCTGCTGCTTCTCTTTCTTTTAACAGTGTCTCTTGTTTTGCCTTCAGGGTTTGACCTTGAAGGTCCAGTTCTTTATAAGTGCTTTTTTCTAAATGCTTGTCAATCTGCTATTAGCATTTTTTGTATTGCTACTTAGATTATTACTTCCTTATCACCCCCAGAAATGTTTCTTTTATATGAAAGAATGTATGTTTTAAGGGTAATTGATGTGTTTACATGAGCCCTGATCTTTTAGTACGTGCTGCATAAGAACTTTTGGAAAAGGTAGTTAGAATCTATCTTGTTTATTTCTCCCTCCCTTTTATTAATTCAAGGTTTTATGCTGTTTTCATTCTTAAAATGATGGGAAAATAACACATTGCATAGTGCTGCTGCATTGCTAGCTTTTTGCATTGCTAGGACTGTTATGCTTACCACATTTTGTAAAAGGAAATATGTTTGTGTGTCATTCATACATATCCATTGCTACATAAAAACCTTCCACTAAAACTGTAAATTAAGATTTTTAAATTTTAAAAGTGGGGATTTGGGTTTGGACAAATTGCTATTATTATTTTTTTAATAAACCTAATATAGGCCACTCACAAAAACTAAGTAGATAACGTAGGAAATAATTTGACGTTGCCACGGCTTGACAAGTCCCATATGTTCAAAATAAAAGCTAGACTGCATGAGGTTCTTTTTAAATAGTACATTTGAGAGTTTTCTTCGTTTGCCTTTTGGTCTTTGAGTCTTTGGGTGTAGTTACTTTGCATATTCAAGCTTTTCTTCACAACCATGAATGCCAGCATTTCTTTTAAAGATGCAAGATGAAATTCTTATGTGGTCATATGAATCAAGAAGCTGAGACTTAAAACAAAAAAAACAACTTACCATGTATTGTGACATTATAAAATTATGAGTTGGCAACATAGAGTATATCTCTGCAGGTTAAGCTTGAATACCTTTGGAGTAGAGTGTAAATTTATAGCAGCTTTCATTCTTTGAGTTTATCAAATAAAATATGCAACTAATAAACATCAAAGGTGAAATCCTTCCCAGTAAAACTTCAAAAAACTTCAAAACTTAGTAAAACTTCAAAAAAATGCCCTTTTATTTTATTTTGGAAGAGAAGGAGCCAAACAAAACAATATCTGATTTCACAAATTAAATTGCAACAGTCCCACAGATTCCACATGCTATTGTGTCAGAGACTCTGACTTTGGGCTTAGAAATATAGAAAGTGAAATCATATCTTCATCTTTCATTTTATATCCTCTAGGATTTTTTTTAATTAATTCTGAGTAATTGGGTAAGTAAATTGAAAGTTAAGCAAGTTATTTCAGTACTAAAGTTCCTTTTTGATGAAAAATCTTGAGGCATGTGGAATGGAAATACACAGATTTAAGACCTACATTTTCAACCCATTTTACAGGGTTTCAGCTGCATGAGTCATTACAGCAGATGTAATTCTCTGATGATAATTATATTTTTCTGTTCTAAACTGTGCTCTAAAAAAGGACAGACTTGCATTTATCAAAGCCTTTGGGAATTCAATTTAATTTTGATTTTTTTTTCTTTAAGTATTTTTTAAGAGGTAACTTTGGATCAAAAAGAAATGGCTTCTTGTAATGTGTGAGATGTAAACTAACTTGTGTTAGTAGCACTCAAAACAACAGCATTGTTTAGCCCTTCAATAAGGCTGTTTATATTTAAAAACTGATAGTAAGGTAGCTTTCAGCTTTCTTTGCCTTTTACCTGGTGCTTCAGTTTTTCAAAAATGGCATGCTTATACACACGAAATAAAATTGCACGGTTAACACTATGTTGCTCTTGGCTTTTGCTGTAAACAGCTTGGAGGTTCTAGGATAATGTAATTTGAGGAGAACTTCCCTCATCTTTGCACAGTTCCATTAATTTTCTGTAATCTATCAACAATCTTCACCGTGTAAAAACATTGTAAGCATCTTTCTCTTACACTGTATCTTCTAGTAGTATATTGACTTCCCAACCAGGGTGCCACAGAACCCAGGGTGCTGCCAGATCCTTTGAAAGGTGCCACAAGGTGAGGAAATAAGTGAGGTTTGGGGAGATAAGCACAGGCTAAAGTGGATTTGTCCTTGCTGGACAATTCCTCTCCCCCCAACTGCCCAGGCTCTCTGCAAGGAGATAAGCTGGAATATTTAAAATAGTTTTGGTCATGGGTTCTACTCAGAAGTTATGAAGGGGTAACTCTAAACAGCACTGAGATCTGTTAGTTGCTTCCTTGTAGATGTTTCTTGATCATCTAGAAGAGGAGGGAGACCTTCCTCAGTTCATCTGTTTATGCTTCTATTAAAAAGGGTAAAGAACCTATTGTGGGCAAACGTGCCTTCTGTCATTCAAAATCTTCAAACAGTTTGCATTTAAAAAATCTTGCAAAAGTGTTGGCTCAAAGCCTGTAAAGTCATTCTCCCATGTTTTCTGTCCAATATACTTGATCAAAATTGGATGTCAGCAATTTTTATTATAAAATAGCTTTATAACACATAATGTTTTAGTTCTGTATTAGATTCAAATCTATCTTGACACTGGATTTTCACATTATTCTGTTAAACTTTCAAAAGCACCTAAGGGATTTACAGTCACAAATGTACTAGACTGTGGAGTTTTGTTGCTTAAAGCATCTAATATTGTTTTTAACTTTGAGCCCATCTTTCCTTCTATGTGGCAGCTTTTTTTTTTATTTAAACATGCAAAATACCTTTTATGTAACATTTTTAAGCGTCCCAAGGATAGTAATCTAAAATAGTAACCTAAAGCCCAGAATTGCCAATAATGAACAGCAGAATCTTAATGGAAATGGTCCAACGATGATTGACTCTTAAGTCTTACAGGTGGATGTTTTCGAAAGTACCTGTGGGATTTTGTTTCAGTGCATTTATACATTAGAGCTACATTGATACGTTAAACGTTTTATGGAACAGGTACTAAACTTAATGCACTGTAATTACAGTGCATAATGAACGTATAGACATGCCCACTGTTAGATGAATAGGAGTTGATGTACGATGTATTTGAAAAGGATTTTTCCTTTACTAGAATATAGCCTTCCTGCTTCTTTGGGAGGTCTATTACTTTTTCATCAGGATCTACTACTGGTGTATTTAACGTGAAAAGTAGTGTCCATTTCCTTTGTGTCTTTGCTAAAAATATAGCATCCTCCTCCCCCCTTTGAATACAATAGAAATATGACATTTTTATGTTCCACAGACAGCCTACAATTGTACTGTTTCAGAGAAGTTCCTATGATGGTACAGGCATCTTTGAATCTGCTTGGACTAAACATAGCTGTAAACCACAATGGAAAAACTGCTGTGAAGTATTCCCAGTAGCAATCTTGGAATTCCTTCAAGTATATTGAGATTTTGTTAGAAATTGAATTGCCAGTGTAATCCATCTTCCTTGTGAGAAAAGATTCAGATAAAGAGCTGGAGCCTAGCAGCATTAAGTATTAGAACATCCTTTTAAATCAATAAGCTACAAATCTGGCAGCACATTCATGCAATGCCCAGTGCTATACTAAAGTGGCTTTAGTGCTGAAGCAGCATTACTAATAGCACATCCCCACCGTGGATAAACAGTAGAGTGATGCAGTATCCTAAATTATAGTGGGCCTTCCCTTGTTAAGTTCCACAAAAGCATATATATTATATTGACATGTGTAAGGAAACAGTTTTTTTTCTTCTTTTTCAGATGACTTTCCAAACGTAGTTATTGAGGGAGTTCTTCATGGGATATTCTGTCCTCATTTACTGCCCAGGTAGAAGTAGTTCATGGCTCAAAGAAGCTAAAGCAAGTCTCCAAGTCACGTTCAAGGGAATGAGCAAAACAAAATTCTATGGCATGACAGCTATTCTTGGAAGCAAAACCACCTCACCTCGATTTCAAGCTTTATGTCTTTTAAAAATGAAATCAGTGTCACTACAGTTGCTGCTTTAAAACAACAGAAATGAAAACATAGGTATTCTAATTATGTAAACTAATGTATGGACATACTCTAACTATTTAATACTTTAAAAGGCTGAAAGTCATACACTGAATTACACTAATCTTTCAAAGGAATTAAAAACTTTATAATTATTTCTTAACTTTTATTATGAATTACACTACTCCTTTCTGAATCAGAAATTTCCCCAACGTATTACCCATTGCTGGCAGTGGATGGATTGAAAGTGCTGGCACTGACAAACATGTGAGAGATGGCAAAAAATAATGTTTAAAATTCAATTGTTTAAACTGAAAAACAGAAGTAATATAAAGTATTGTATAAATATCACTCAACTTTTTTCTTATTGAAACAAGTTGAGCCTTATGTGCTTGGGACTTTCCATTGGGAAACAAGTTTACATCTTCTGAAAGCATAGCTTTGTTTCAGGACAGTGGTTGTATGCATTTCAATCTAAAGGCACAGGCAGACCAATTATTATGCAGTGAACAAGAGCGGAGATTTTGCAATATCAGCTATTAAGGGTCTTGTCCACAGTAAGTGAAAGTTAACCCATGGTAGCTTATTCTTTCACTGAGCAGTGTGGTACTGTGCCTTAGTTTTCATTTACCAGGGGGGAAATTTGTATGCATGGTAATTCATTTGTGTGCCCATGTCCTAAGGCATTCTATCCATCAGGAAGTTTTGTATGGCATTTAAAAAGGCCATTCAATTAGTTATTATTTCTAAAGTGTTTTTAATTTCCAAGCCAAACTTGCACTGTGGTTAATATCCTTACGTTTTGTGAACCAGAGTTTCTACCACTTTGTGGTTAGATCAAGCAAGAATGACTGATAAAGCAGTAAAATTATAAGGATCAGTATTCATATACATGAATAATTAGGCTAGATGAACTTCAAACTTTGTACCTGCATTATTGGATATTATGCCATGAAATAAACTACTAGAACAGGAACAGAAGTCTGAAAGTATCATTTGTAATTTTTTTTAACCTAACAACGTATGTTTCAGAGCTTTTTACTTCAGAGTTCTCTGTTCTCTTCTGACATGAAACATGAGAAAATATTTGATCTGTAGAATGAAATCAACACTTCACTGTTGCGACATTACTTTTATGCCACTGTATGTCTCAAAACCACATTTTCAGTGCTACTGGATTGCTGAGAATTCATTGAGCTAACTGGAGTAAGGAGTATTTGGTGTGAGCATTAGGGACAGGATTGGGCTGTGCCACAGCAATCTGATCCTGAGGGAACAATGGTGCTTCCAGCTAAATAAATGCTCAATTTCCTTTAAAATTGTTTTGATGACTTGGTGCAAGATTTGGGGCTTTTCATACAAATATGGTCAGGATTAGAGCTTCACCCAGGAAGTGGGAGATCTAGATTTGACTCTTTTCTCACTGTAGGTTCAAACCCACATTTTCCAGGCTAGAGCCCTAACCATCATGTTACAGCTATCCTAAGTGAGCAGGGCACCCTCTTTTCCTACTGACAGTGAGGGCAGGTAACAGAATTCAGGATTCATGGCCAAGAGAATGAGAG